TACAATCAACAATGCATTCTTTCACAATTTCTACATCACTGAATGGCTTCTCCCCCCCCCCCCGAGAATATAATCTACTTTACAAGTTGCTTCAGTGGCATTATTTCCAGGTCTTATTGCTGCTTGAAAGAATTGTCTTTGCTGTCGCTTTTCATCTTTCAATTTCTGCAGTACAACCTTCTTTTCCCTCCTCATTTAAATATTGTGGTCCTTATGAGTGTTATAATGCTGATGAGCCATTGAAGTTCTAATGTGATATTGCAGTATCACAAAGCAAGCAAATCATCTTTAGCAGAAACAAGATAATATTGCAATTCCCAATCCTCATTAAATCTGTTTTCTTCTTTCGTTGTTTTCTTGGTCTTTTTGACATCATGGGCTGTTAAGCAGACAAAATTAAAAAATACTGTCAAGTTGTGCAACTGTTCACAAATTCCACTTCAGACAGAAACTCATTGCGCCACTACCAAAGCTGATAACGGACCAGTGTACTTGATCCCTATAAACTCTTCCCAGCCAGCCTCGTGCTATGTGGCGCCAGCAGGCGTGGGAAGTTAGAGCTAAATCGTGAGCGTATAGCAGCTGTCAAAATTCAGCCCTTATTTGTTTACTAATAATGTTCCAATTGTGCCAGTCAATCTGGGAGGATTATTTGATTGAAACTTATTTATTTTTTGGTATTTTAAATACTTCATTTTAAAAATAAAATAAAAATATAAAAAACAGAACAAAAATGTATTGATAAAAATAAAAGGATTTGTTCTGGAAAATTTAGATTCAGTCAAGAGGCTGCACTTAAGGACCTAGAAGGCCACATTTTCCCCTGCCCCTGTCTGAGTCTATATTTTTATTGTAAGTTTGTGTTAGAATTGATGTTCAGCTGTCCCTTTGAATGGGGGAAATAATTAAAATTTATATGACAACAGTGGTTTTAAAAGGAAGGTGGAAAGAGAGGCAATCTTTATGTGTGCTCAAGTGTCTGTTTTGGTTTATGAATTTGCTCTATGTAATTCAAGATGATTTTTGTTCTCTCAATAGATGAGAAATACTACCATTTTAGTAGAAGAGTTATCAAGAGCCAGATGATCAAAAACCTTGTCAAGCGCTTCTGGTTTATTACATGCTCTCCTCTTTCCCTGTGTAATGATATCATGACTCAGAACTATGGGAAAGTAATCAAGACAACTTACTTTGAATGTTGTGTTTTTATGTCTAGGTACTAAGCAGAAAAAAAATGATCATCTTATGAGTTTTTGGATGAATGCTTTAATACTACTATTTTCTTTTTTACTAGTGACAAGGATAAGAGTATAAAGCACTGTCAACTTTTTCTTAGTTCTCGATCAAGAACAGGGTTTGAGGAAAATAAGTTGAAAACAAGCAATTTTAGAAAATGAACTTAGAAAGTTCTTTTGTTGATTTTTAAATCTTACTGAATAAAGAATAGCCAATACTGGGTGGCATTTGAAATTTTCAAGGCCACTACTGACGTCCTTTTTGCCATTTTTCTTGTATGTTACTAGCTGTATGCTTGTAGTAAAAAATTAAGAGGCATTAAGCTTTCATAGGTTATTTGTAATATAGATTATAGCTGAAATGTGACTCTTTTTTTAGTACATTTTGTTGAGGTTTGGTGAACAATTATACCAACAACTAATACTTTAAAAACCTTGATGTTATGGTGTTTGAAAGGAAAGGGGGAAGAAGTCTGGAAAAGTGTTGAGTTGGTTTCTCTGGGAAACAGACTCTGAGACTCAAAGTCTTTTGGGGGGGAGTATTCTCTAAAAGGACATCTACTTAGGGATGAATGAGGCAGGGCTGGAAAGAGGGAGGAGTTGAAATGCAGTTCATTTATAACAGAGGCCCCAGCCAATACCACGAGGAGCTTTGAAGTTGGGATGGCCCTTCAGCCCGACCTGAGTTGATGCAGGGGCTTAGGCCTGTGTTCCACCCCTGGACCTGCCATTGGCTGTGACAGGGGACACAACAGCCCCGGGTCAGGGGCAGGAGAGCAGCCCAGCTGTGAGTTGTCAGGAGCCCACGTTCATTCCCCGCAGCTGGGGGAGCCAGCGCCTCCATCCTGAAGTGCGGGAGGGATCTGGGCGTCACTCCACAGCATTTAGTTCTTAAGTGAAACACAAAACGGGGAATACGCAGGGGGAAGCAGAGGAGACAAGATCCATGCCGCATAATCTCTCATTTTTACTGTTACACTTAATTCTCCAGAATTCATCTCCTGCTGTTGACTTCAGGACTATGAACCAAGCACATTATACCAGTTTAATAAACGATGAAACCATAGCAGTCTGGAGACAAAAACTCTCAGAACACAACAATGCGAATACAATCAAGTATGTGGTTGCTTGTCTTCCTTTATCTTTTCCAAAGTAGTTGGAACTTTCTAGCCAAGCGGTTTACCTTACTTCTATTCTATATTGATATTGTGAATGTAAATGGAGTTTTACATTTTTGGGAATCGTAGGGTTTTTGCAATTATTTCAGAGTTGATCATGTTAGCCCCAAATAACATAAGAGATTGTTCCTCAGTTCTCACACAATGTATTTATCCTCAACCTCTTGTTCAGTGTAAGGTCTTAAAGATTCTGACTGACGAAGGCCTGAGTTGGCCTTTCTGCTAAGAGAGTGTAGTGTTATTGTTGTGTAACCCCAATGGGTTTCTTCATATGCATGTTCCAAAGCATGCTGAATCCAAGGCAGCCGTTACCTGATCAGAATAATTTCTAACATTTTCTCAATCTAAGTGATTAATTGAGATGGTAATTCAGATTCATGTAGAGAAAGAAAATGCAGTAAATAAGATTGAGACCTTTTATCAAGTTTATTCTTAGGGGAGAATTTTGCACATTTTTACCCATTTTCATTAGCTTTCCTCAGCATTCCACTTTTCCCTGCAGAGTTTAATTCTTGGGCGTGAATAAATCAAACTCTGTGCACAAAACAGTGATCATTCCCAGAAATCTACATAATAGTTCCCACTTTATGACACAGATTGTATTGGGGCAAATAACCAGGACCCTAAATGTTGAGTTACCATTTCAGGTGGTAACTTTTTGAGCGAGGAAGCATCAGGAATGCCCTAGAACAGCTCAGGGCCAGTCCTTGGAATCCCTCCGACCTTAGGTGGCTGTGCCAAAGAGTGCAGGCAGGAAGGGCAGCAGGAGAAAGGGGGGCAGGGCTAGCTTAGGGGCCCGCAGGAGGTAACTGTTAGACACTTTACCTTTGTTTTCTTATTTATAAAATGAAGAGATGGAAGAAATGGTCTCTAAAGATCTTTCCTGACCCCAATTCTATAATTAACAGAAGTTACTGCAATCCCTTTCCCAGATTTATGTTTGTTTTATTCCTTCCCTTTTCCTTATACTAAGTAAGAGGGTCCCTGGCATGGAATTTTATTACTACCTTGCTTGGGTCCTCAGAAACTGTTTTCCCAGAGTCTGTATGACCCTAGTTAATAGGAATAAGTGCTCATTTCACTTATTTTTAGTTTCTCAGGTGATAAAATAGAAGGAAATGGCTGGGCGTGGTGGCTCACGCCTGTAATCCTAGCACTTTGGGAGGCCGAGGCGGGCGGATTGCTCAAGGTCAGGAGTTCGAAACCAGCCTGAGTGAGACCCAGTCTCTACCAAAAATAGAAATAAATTAATTGACCAACTAAAAATATATATATACAAAAAATTAGCCGGGCATGGTGGCGCATGCCTGTAGTCCCAGCTACTCGGGAGGCTGAGGCAGTAGGATCGCTGAGCCCCGGAGATTGAGGTTGCGCCACGGCACTCATTCTAGCCTGGGCAACAAAGTGAGACTCTGTCTCAAAAAAAAAAGAAGGAAATGGTTGTTCATTTATTAATTTGCTAAGATAATTTCTTGTGTTTGGGAAATAATAGCTCAGCATCTCTTTTTTGGTTTGATTCCGTGCTTATGTTTGGATGTGAGGTAGGGAGTGTCTTAGATGGTTGGTGGTTGAAGAATATTCAAGAACATTAACAGGGGCAAAAGTTTTTCTTTAAGGAGCTTTGATACTCTTTTTTTTTTTTTAACATGGAAAATTTAAGTTCTTGTTCATTTTGAGATGTGACATACTGTATTTCTAAGGCAAATGCATGTTTTCTAAAGCTTCATCTGGCTAAGAAAGAGCTGCTATTAATGAGATCATAGAACTGATGACTAATCTATTGCTGAGACTTAAATAACCATTTATTTGTAATTATTAAAGACTTCTTTCCCTTTATTTATTTTTTTATTTTTTTTGAGCAGTGGTGTTGTACAGATATTATCTTCTGCAGCCTGTTGGAATGGAAGTTTTCTTGAAAAAAAGTAAGTGACATTAGAGGCTTAAAAAAACCCACCTATGTGCCTGTAGTCTCAGCAACTCAGGAGGCTGAGGCAGGAAGATCGCTTGAGTCCAGGAGTTCGAAGCTGTAGTGTGCTGTGATAGTGTCTGTGAATAGCCACTATACTGCATCCTGGGCAACATAGCGAGACCTTGTCTCTTAAAAAAAAAAATTCTAAAACAAAACAAACAAAACCCACGTGTGATGCAAATAACTCAGCAAAGGCTGTGAAAGACTTCTGTTCTCTTTGCTGGTGGTGGTTGGCTTTAATTCAGTGGATAAGCCGATGCTTTGTGCAAGTATTGGAAGGCCTAATGATGATGAATGAGAAGGCATCAGGAAGGGCAATGCCCATTCATGCCTGGTTGGCAGAGGAGCAGATTACCGAAGAGAGAGACTGTATTTCAGAAAGAATTGGTGTAATCAGAAGTTAAGATTTTCAGGGCACTCTAAAATGTTATACCCCTCAGGTGTGTACAGCATTTGTTCTTAAATTCTTAAGCCTTTAAATAATTTTTGTTGGTTTCTTTGATTTACGTTCCCATAGTTTCTTCTTTTCTCAAGAGGAGTAAACTTAGGGGAAGTTTCAAGGAGGCTCCAGGAGCTCCTTGGCTTCACGTCCAGCCCCGCTCACCAGGAAATTATGATTTGAGGCTGAACTCCCAGGTGGCAAACAGAATGTTTCTTTGCTCGACCTTCTACAAATATCTCCCCCAGGAACTTAATGTAGCGGAAAGGTCTTGTCATGGGTTTCGATCTTTGGTGATCTCAAGACCTGATCATCTCTCAGTTTTTTCTGCCAGTGACCAGGCTAATGAGATCTCAAGGTGAATTTAGGATGAGAAGAGTATCCCAGCTCCATAAAAGAGATCGAGAAAGAGAAAATAAATCTTCCCTCTGCCTTCTTACGGTCCCTCCACCGATTGGATTATGCCCGCTTACATAGGATGGGAGCAGATCTTCCTTAGTCTACTGATTCAAACGCCAGTTTCTTCCAGAAAACCCTCTAAGATATGTGCAGAAATAGTGCTTCACCAGCTATTTGTGTATTTCTTAACCCAGTCAAGTTGACACCCTAAAATTAACTATCACATTCTCCTCCAAAAATGTGTCCCTAATTCGGTTGCAAGAGGTCACTTCAGAAACACTCTTAAGTTACAGCTAGAGATTACAGAGTCATTTATTTGTATCATGTAAGGCAGCTGGAAGGAGCCCATGTAATTCATTTTATATTTAGTGATTAGTTTTTTCCTCCAGGGAAGGTAAACGGATTCACCGATTAGCTGATGTTGGTCTTCTAGAACATCGGTTGTCAACCAGAGTGATTTCGCTCCCCACAGGACATTTGGCAATGTCTGGTCACTACAGTGGGGGAGGGTGCACTACTGGCATCTAGTGGGCAGAGGCCAGGGATGCTGGAAACATCCTGCAGTCCCATCTGCCCAGCAGAGAATTGTCTGGCCCTAAAAGTCAGTAGTATCAAGGTTGAGAAACCCTGTTCTAGATGTATTGCTTTTAAGAAGGTTGGAAATGGTTTTTGGCCAGACTTGTTGGGTTATTTACCCTTTGTACCATGGATTCCATAGTGTTGTAGGTAAAGCTTTTTTTTTTTTTTTTTTTTTTTTAACATCTGTGCTATTTCAGGTCTATTCCTCCAGCTTATACAAGAGACATCACAGGAAACTAATCAAAATGAAGATCAGTTGTACAAAACAATAAATACATATAGATAAAGCATTATTTTTTTCTTAAAAGCATAGCAAGAAGTACCTCTAAGCATATGGAAGGTTACATATGGAAGTCCACGATTCATTTCTATGTTTTGGGCAGGTCAATTTTTAGAAAAACAACAACAAAGGACCCAACAAACAAAGTTTAAGCAACTCCTCTTCATTTGACCATTTTGGGTGCCAGTACCTATAATTATGATTTTTTTTTTAATGTTAGAAATTCTACTTATGTTTTCATAAATTATACTGTTGCTATGAGAGAGTGTTAAAATGATCTGAATGTGCCCATTACTCATAAACGCAAGCCTGTTTTGTAAATAGGTAGCTTTTTTTTAAATTAATAGGTATGGACACATTTTTGGAGATTCTGGAGTGGGAATTTAAAAGAGATGTTCTCTAAGTCTGTAGAAGGCTAAGACTTCAAGGTCAGAAAAATGATTTAGTTGCTAGGAAGTTAAAAATAATAGCTGTGAAATTAGTCCCTGGGGGAAGATAATTGTATCCCTTATGTTAACTAAGAGCGATGTTAACTTTGCATTTGTCATAGATCTGATTTTTATTTTAAAAACTTTAAAAAGGCTTTCAATAAGGAGGTTCTACTTGCCGTTTGTTGATGCATGGGACAGTTTGCACGGGAGACATTTTTTGCTCCTACATCTAGCTCAGTGCCACAATTAACAGAAAAAGGGAAAAAACACAGGTAAATAACACTCTGCTTATAAACTTCAGGATAGCCTCAACTTGAAATGATAATCTCTGTACTTTGACTTGAAGGGGGGAAAAAAGTGAAAATTTAAAATCATCTTGAAAAAGGGATTCCCGCAAGGTTTTTCTGTTGGGTTTCCCCAAAGTGTAGTGTGTTTGTGGATCTTGTCTGCTGGGTCAAGTTTAAATCTGATCAGTAAGGTCAAACTCTCTTGTTTAAGTGTTTACAATTCCCATCAGGATGTTTGCTTTGTTGTTCTTTGCTTACATACTTTTTTGGTTTTGTTTGTTTAGAATTGATGAACATTTTAAAACAAGTCCCAAAATCCCCGGGATTGACCTGAACTCAACTAGAGTGTTATTTGAGAAGTTAATGAACTCTCAGCACTCCATGATTCTAGAACAGGTATGTTCCTTACATTTTACAAAGTCCATTTTTTTTTTAATGTATTTTTGCATTGAAAATTTTCAAAAGAAAAAGTGAGGTGGAAAAGTGAGAGTCCTATACACATCTTAACTGCAAAATATTCACTTTGGGAATTTGACCTACCTTTTGCTTTCTTTTGGCCTAATACTTCCTAAGAAAAAGCCCCTCTGGAATATAAAGTTTGCGTTCTCAGGGATCTGTGGCTTTTCTTCTCACCGATGTGTTCGAAGAATCTAGGCGCTGGCCTGACTCACAGTTAGGTCCTCAGAGCCTGAGGAATGAATGAGAGTCGAGAAGTGGAGTGAGAGTCCAGTGGCATTCGAATTGAGAGATCAGTTAACTAGAGCTCAGGGATGTCTGGATTTCTCATTACTCTTCTCTCTCATGCAGATCTTAAACAGCTTCGAAAGTTGCCTGATTCCACAGTTGTCAAGTTCCCCACCAGACGTTGAAGCAATGAGAATCTATTTAATACTACCCGAGTTTCCCCTCCTCCAGGACTCCAAATATTACATCACGTTGACTATTCCCTTGGCTATGGCCATTCTGCGGCTGGACACAAACCCCAGCAAAGTATTAGGTGAATTAGCTAAACTTTCGATACCAGTAGTTTTGTCCTGATTTATTTTGTTGGTGTGAGCACTGGCTCTCAGTGGATTGAGATCCAATAATCTGTTGTCATTTAATGGCCTTAACATTTAAACTTCTAGCTAATCATACTTGCAATCTGAGCGAACAGAATCATTATTTAGATGATTTGAAATGATTCATGCCAGATTAATCTTGATTTTGTAATATTCACAAAGATTATTTACCTTTGGGCTATTTTTTGGGGGTCCCATATTTACTTATAGTTAATAGTGCCTCAAAATGTAGTGTCCATCTGTCTGTCTTTCTCCCATACCTAAATTAGTGAAACAAACAGTTTTTGGTGATACACAGGTTTCCAAAAAAAAAAAGCAAGGAAGAAAATGACCTAGTGGGGACTTACCGAATGTTTGTTTTGTTTTTCTTTTTTAGGACAGTTGAGCCCACACTGATTTTTGCAGGCTCCGGGCACTTTGCTGAGATAAGAACCTTCCGTTCCTCAGTGAATTGGAGAGTGTGTCTCATGGGAGTAGCACCTGAGATGTTTTTGTTAATCCAGTGCAGGAAGTCTATCACCTGGCTTTTTGCATTCCCTACCCCCGCCCCGCCCCCCCATCCCTGGTAAATTTTTTAGGTGTTCGTTGCAACTCAGTAACTTCCGTGTTCTGGATGAACTGGGACGTTACTTGAGTGTGGTCTCCGTGAGTAAGGAGACTTGAGATCATGAGGGTGGAATCCTGGCTCCTCCATATTGCTTCCACCCTTGCAGAAATAAAAACGCAGATAGTCATGAAAGCGCTAGCAATATGTTGGTACTTAAGTTTTTTGAAGATCAGAAGCCTGTGGGGCACATTTTCTCAGGGGTTCTTATGGACATGAACTGGTGGGATGGCAGTCTCTGAAGAAATAGGACCTGGCTTTTAAGTTTGGGAGTTTGTTCACTCTTATTTTTCTAGGTTGGACAGCACCAAGAGATCAGAATTATTCAATTTCAAACTTAATTTATTTCTAACCTCTGATTATCAAAATTTAAAAGAATACTTCAAAGTAGAGAGCACACTGTAGGTGCCCACCACACAGATTCAGTAAGTTGTCAGTGTTGTGCCCTTTTATTTTTACCTTCTCCTCTCCGCCACCCACCAACTTTTCATTTTTTGCTAGAGTATTTGAAAGAAAATTCCAGACATATTATTTTATTCTTTAAATGTTTCAGTATGGCTAAGTTTATTTCTGACAAAGTAGAAGCCAATGATATAGTCTTCTTGTCTGGTTGTGAGAAAGCATTGTTTGGTGAAAAACAAAAACAGTAGTTTTTCAACTAATTCTGCCTCTTGAAGGGAAGGAAGCGAATAGTTGCCATTACCGGTGCTATTTCTAGAGCATCCTGATGTGGGATTTAAGTGGTGGCTGGAAGGGCTGGGCCATATGAACACTTTCTGGACTGCTGCAGTGGTGGACATCGCTCCTGCCCAAACCATGGTGTATCTTGTCCACATATAGCCTTGGAATTGAACTTCTAGGTTAGCCTTTAGAATGAGTCTTTGAAAAAAATGAAATCAAACTTTACATAAAAAATAAAAAGCTCCAGGGATTCTTGTATAGTTGCTGCTCCCTCCAGAGATGTTTTAATGGATTCCTTTTAAAAAGTCACTTTGGCCGGGCACAGTGGCTCATGCCTGTAACCCTAGCACTCTGGGAGGCCGAGGGGGGAGGATTGCCTGAGCTCAGGAGTTTGAGACCAGCCTGAGCAAGAGTGTAGACACTGTCTGTACTATAAATAGAAAGAAATTAGCCAAACAACTACAAATAGACAAAATTAGCTGGGCATGGTGGCGCATGCCTGTAGTCCCAGCTTCTCGGGAGGCTGAGGCAGGAGGATCGCTTGAGCCCAGGAGTTGGAGGTTGCTGTGAGCTAGGCTGATGCCATGGCACTCTAACACAGGCAAGAGAGAGTGAGACTCTGTCTCAAAAAAAAGTCAGTTTTGGTAAAATGTATCTCAGAATAATCTTTATCTTCTAGACAGAGCAGTTTTTAGCTAGTAGGCAGAAGACGTAACTACTTGCTTAGGATTACATGTTGAAATATGTTTTTTCTTTCTTTCTAAAGATAACTGGTGGTCTCAGGTATGCCCGAAATATTTCATGAAGCTAGTAAACCTCTATAAAGGTGCAGTCCTGTATCTACTGAGGGGAAGAAAGACATTCTTAATTCCTGTACTGTTTAACAGTTACATTACAGCAGCTCTCAAGCTCTTGGAGAAGTTATATAAGGTGAGCACAGGTGGAGCCGGGGGGAGAGGGGTGAATCGAGGGTAGGGGCAGCGTCCTGTTGAGAGGTCCTGCGGGAAGCCATGTGTTAGTTGTCCTTATTTTGTTTTCCACCAGGTAAATCTTAAAGTGAAGCACGTGGAATACGATACATTTTACATTCCTGAGATTTCCAGTCTCGTGGACATCCAGGAAGACTACCTCATGTGGTTCCTGCACCAGGCAGGGATGGTAAGAATTCCTGTAAAGCATATCTTAAAGTTTAATCTTTCCTTCAGAGTGTTAAGTCGGGACAAGTAAAGCACATCTGAGCCACTCGACTTGTCTTTGACTTTGACGTTGCTGTCTCGTCTGTTTTGCATCCAGCTGGCTTTTGCATTCTCGAAACTTCGAAGTACTCTAAGTGATGATAAATGTTACAAAAAGTAATAAATGAGTAGTCACCCAGAATGTGATAAATGTGATCAGTTGCCAGCATTTTAAAAAATCCAAGGTATCTAAAGAAGTCAACTCAGAGAAAAACAGTAGAATAGTGGTTGCTAGGGGCTAGAGGCAGGAGGAAACGGAGAGCTGTGATTTAATGAGTATAGAGTTTCAGTTTTGCAAGGTGAAAAAGTTCTGGAGCCCTGTTGTACAACAATGCGAATATACTTAACAGCGCTGAACTATACACTTAAAAATGATTAAGATGGTAAATTTTATGTTATGTTTTATTACCATGATATTAAAAAAATCAGGACACATAAAAATATGAATTTTTAGCTTCTCTTGAAATTTGGAAAGTCTGGCAACACGCTCTATCTTGCCATATGGCACCAGTTGGCTGGAGTTCAGTGGTGGCTCTTTAGATGAGGCTGTGTGTGCCACAGTCCCTGCCGCAGCTTAATCTGTCCCTGACGTTGAAGAAAGTGTTACTTGGTGATTATTGTCTTGTGACAGCTAGCCGACTTCCGTCGTCATAGGGGACCCTGTAGGCAGCTCTGATTTAGGGTCATAGTGTGGTAGGAACCACTCAGTTTGATCGGGGACAGGCTTGGGATATCTGTAAGGCTCTTTAGGATCTCCCATCTGGATGTGTAAGTGTGAATTAAGTTAAAAGCCAGGAGGGTAATTTGGTTATTGTATTTCAGAAGCCACATGCAGCAGGTGCATCTGAGGTGAGCCATCACCAACGTTAGGATGAGGTATTTCCCTGTAGGGTTTTTGGAGGTCAGCGGAGGTCTCCAAAAGCAAGGCATTTAAATAGACTTATTTAGGCCGGGCGCTGTGGCTCATGCCTGTAATCCTAGCACTCTGGGAGGCGCCGAGGCGGGAGAATCGCTCAAGGTCAGGAGTTAGAAACCAGCCTGAGCAAGCGCAAGACCCCGTCTCTACTATAAATAGAAAGAAATTAATTGGCCAACTAAAAATATATAGAAAAAATTAGCTGGGCATGGTGGTGCATTGCTGTAGGTCCCAGCTACTCGGAGGCTGAGGCAGGAGGATCGCTTGAGCCCAGGAGTTGGAGGTTGCTTGTGAGCAAGGCTGATGCCACGGCACTCTAGCCTGGGCCAACAGGAGTGAGACTGTCTCAAAAAAAAAAAAAAAAAAAAAAAAAAAAAAGAAATTAAATTGGCCAACTAAAAATATATAGGGAAAAAATTAGCCATGCCGGTGGGCACATGGCTGTAGTCCCATGTTGTGGGAGGCTGAGCAGGAGGATGCTTGAGGGCCCAGGAGACTGAGGGTTGCTGTGAGCTAGGCTGATGCCACAGCACTGTAGCCTGGGCAACGGAGTGAGACTCTGTCTCATAAATAAACAAACAGATAAACAAACAGACTTACTTAACTAAACCAACAAAATTGTTTTCTTTGTCAAATAATAGATGATCAATGCTAGACACAATGTTGTGTTTTTTTCTCTAGGAACTTTAAAAAATTAGCATAATGTTGCATTTTAAAATAAAATTTTACGATTACCGTGGGAAAACAAAACACTTTGGTAAAAATGAGTTAGAGTGTTCTTAATGGGATGACATGGGAAATTTAACATGGGGGCTAGCAGTGAACTCTGCTTTCACCTTCAAATTTAGAAATTGTGAAAAATAAGCTTCTCTGTTTTATTGATTGTGAATAGTTTATTCACTAAATAATAAAATGTTAACAGAAGATGAGATAAGCCTTGTGAACTGTTTAGGCCAACTGCTTTGTTTCTGGGTGAAGAAGAGGCCTGAGAAGTTAAACGATTTTCCCACCAATTCTAACAATAAAAGTCAGTTCTTCTAATTTATTCTTTCTGTGACTTGATGCTGAATAAAAGAAATCTAAGAAACTAATTCTTTTTGACCTGAAAGAAAGTTATTTGTGTTAAAATCTAGATTCTCATGACTGCACTCTCTGAATGGAGGTAGTTAAGTGAGCAACTTTTATAATGTTTCATAGTTCCTTTCTCTTATACCTTTGACAATCAAATATCAGATCTTGAATAATAGATGCTCATTTCTTCAGTAATTAAGGTAGTTATTGCGAGAAACCCAGAAGATTAGGTGAAATCAGTATGTGATCTGTTGGGATTCCTGTAGAATTTTTTCTAGGCTACAAAGTGACATTTAAATTTCTTGATATCTTGGATTTTAACTGAAAATACTAAAGCCATTTCATATCGGTTATTTTTATTTTAACCACTTTTAAATAATGATGAACAATAAATGGATTTTTTTGTGTTAACTTTTTTTTAGCTTAGTGCTATCCTAGGCTGTAGAGCATGTTGTTGCTGCAGTCAGAAAGTCTTGGTTCAAGTGTCAACTCTGATCTGCTGTCTGTGGTCTTGGCTGAGTTCCCTACTTCCCATAGGCCTAGCATCCTCATTTGTGAATGCGAATCATAACAGTATGTGAGACTTACATGGGAGGAAGCGTGGAGAGGCCCTTGCGTGGCAGAATGCTTAGCATATAATAAGCCCTTCGTAACTATTTTTGCTAAGCGTTTCTTGAGCACCTCAGGTATGTCATCTACCTGCCAGTCTCTGGGAGTGAGACTCGAGTGGCATATGGCGTCTGCCTTTGCGGAGTGTTTAGTTCAGTGCAGAGGCAGCCGTGGAAAATAAATGACAAAGGTGGTGTGCAGAAGGAACATCCTGAGTGCTTTTTGCTCATCGAAAAGAAGAGGGCAGTAGTGGCTTGTTTATCTCAATGAATAGCCTGCGGTCTTCCATGCTTGCAAACCAAGCAGCACGTAGAGTGAGCGGCTCCTTGAGTGCCCGCTAGAGGGCAGCACGAGCGAGGAAGTCGGCGACAAAGCACACATCCTGCAAAAGCCAGAGAAAGCGCGCCATCTCGCTGTGTGCATTTACGGACACGCGGCACAAGGGGGCAGTGTTTCAGCTCCAGGTTCCGGAATTGTCCAGAACAGACCCGAGGCAGGGGAAGCTGCGATTCCTCCCCAGCACTGCAGGGGGCTCTGCAAGGCCCCCTGCTCCACTTGCAGCCCCCTTTAGGAAATGTTGATTTGGTATTTTTTTTTTTTTAAAAAAACCTGTTCTTCGTTCTCCAGTTCTGTGCCGTTTCCTTATTCATTGCTTCCATTTCATATACTTTAAAAAATGAACCTAGGTCACAGTCTAACCCCATTTCAGCCGGGGAAACTGGAAATAGGTCCCAGGGAAACTGGAAATAGGTCCCACCAGCAGCTTGATAGATTTAAGCTTGTGAGATTCATTTCGGGGGAAGGAATAGCCCAGAACAAGCAGGCGGTGATCACGGATCCTTTTAGGTGGTGGATAGCAGTGGTGGCACAAAACCACGCCGATTTATTCCACACAATACAGAAATGCCCCAGCGTGGTCACAATTCCTAAAACATGCAGCATTCGGAAAATAAAGATCAGTGAAATGAAATTATATTGCAAATAAAAAAACCTCAGACTTATAACAAAAAAAAAAACTGTAGACATGTAAACAGAGCTTCATAAATATTTGCAGCTTCTTTTGACTGAATACTCTTCCCTCCTTTGCCTGCCTTGGAGCTGGCGCCTGGGTTCTGTAAGGCTTTAGTGGCTTCCCTCCTGCCTTGGTGGCTTGCTCGGGACTTGTCTCTAGACCCTGACTCTGGGTGGCATCTCTCTGGCCTTGGCTCTGGCTCCAAACTGAGGCAGTTGTGGATTCTTCCTGCCCTTGATTTAGCTCCTTCCCTTCCCCAGTAGAGAGAGCAAGCAGCCTGCTTCCCAAACTGGGTTCTTTTACCTGGGGGTGGGGGGTTAGGGGGGTGGAGGGGGTGTGGGGAAGGGTCAGGTGGGGGCGCTGGGAGGGATCAGGAGCTGCAGAAGGGGGGTGTTTAAGCAGCGCAGGGGGGGCTGGTGGAGGGGGTTGCAGAGGGAGAGAGCTGAGGAATACAGACAAAGCTGCTGATTGACGTCAGAAATAATTACATTGCACCAACTGAAGCACTCTAGTTCGTGCTGAAATCTCCTAAGTATGCTAGGACTAGGACGCTGCCTTGCCACAACTGTTTTTGTCGTCTATTCTCACTCCCCCTGCACTCACTTTTACACTTGAGGTAGTCAGAACTTTATCTTGCTTTTGCACCTTCAAGATCTTTCTTTTCCCTCGAGAAGAAGTAATCACGCTTAAGGTAAAACTAATCTCTTCTGAGAAGAAGGTGAGAAAATCCTGAATATTGGCACCGGTTTTAAGCCCTCTTCCCCAGGATGCTCCTGGGACTTGGACTATGAGATAACTTTGCTTAGTCCTATCTCAGGATGTGTGTGGGTTTTTTGTTTTGTTTTTTCTGTTTTTAGTAATCTTGATTCCCAAATTCAAAATAGATACGTAGGCACATGGGTGAGTCAAATAGGCCTCGATTATATATGCACGATTCCATAGCCGGTCTCACTGGACTACTGGAATGGTCGCTCCGATCCGTGTTTCTCAGTCTAGAGAAATGTTCCAAGATTCCCTAAAGGAACCTAGCTCTAAAGGATGAACAGGGCGGATTTTAATTTAAAATCCCTTTAAAATGATTTCCCTTAAATATGCACAGGCACCAAAGGAGGTGTACATTTCTTATGCCTATAGTACTGAATTATAAAATCAGAACAGATTTACAAATTAAAGACAGAGAAAACTATCACGGCAACAAGATGCAGACCAGCCTGGCTGATGAGACGTGATCAGCAGGCAGCACACGTCCGCATGGCGCAGCGGCGGCCGCTGCCAGGCGGGGCTGGGGTTCCGCCGCCCGCCCGGCCGGGTGACTCAGCTCGCTTCTCTCCTCTCAGCTGCTATTAAGCATTAATCACACAGCAAGCCAGGACTGCATGGAGCTTTTCTTTTGGTGCAAATGCGGCATTTACACGCCTAGACTGCTTTCTCTCTCTTCTCATTACCCTCGGACAGATAAATATTTCCATGCCCCCAGTGCAGTCATTAAAACAAGTGTCAATTAATGTGGTCACTCTGTGTGTTTTTGTTAATTTTATTTCGGATATTATTTTAAAAAAATAGAGAGAGCACTCTTAGATCTCTGAGAATAAATCAGCGGTTTCCTGTGTATTGCTACAGATCAGCATGACCTGTATTGTTGATTTTTCTTTTCTTTTTTGGTTTCTATTAAGTTAATAGTAAGTTAATGTTTGTTATATAACTTAAAAGCTTTCAGAAGAGATTCCTCTTTTTTCGCCTGATAAATGATAAATTCATTGTGGTTGTATTTACTGTTACTCTCCTCTAAAGCTGATGGACAGATTCATCCATGGATTGTTGGGGTGCCTTTGGTAGGCCGGCCACTGGCCTGAGTATACTGTATTAAGTGCTGTTTAGAAGCACTTGGAATTATTCCTGAATACTTGGTTTCTCCCAATAGTAACAAACTGTGTGTGTGTTCGTGCACATGTATGTGAGTGAAAATGCAACATCATTTAACAAATCAAATGTCAATTGCATTATCCACTTTTCCCAACAAAATTAACCTCTGAGGTCAAGGTTGTGAAGCTCCTGTTTTGGAATTAGATTTCTCATAAAAAGAATTCTGTTAATGCCGTGACTTCTGGAGAGTCAGTGATATGGCCTTTCAAGGTCCTTTAAGAATTTTTTTTTAAGTTGTTTATTTTTTTTTTAAGTTAATTATTTTTCCCTCAGTCTGTGTGTATCAAAACATCTGTTGTATTCCATCAAAATGTAGCCGTTCAAATGGTGTGTGTTCCATGACACATAGTCAGATAAGCTACCTGTTTTCTTATTTATATTTTACTTTTGGGGGAGTTGAAATTCAGGTTTTACAATCAAAGTAAGAGACTTTTTGTTTTTCTTTACACAGAAGGCTAGACCATCTATAATACAGGTAAATGATCCTTTTTAAATTTGCTTATATCTTTTCCTAGCAGTATTCTCTGTGGAATATTCTACTGCCAATAACATGCTTTCTTCTAGGATGCTGTGACACTTTGCTCCTACCCTTTCATCTTTGACGCCCAAGCCAAGACCAAAATGTTACAGACCGACGCTGAACTACAGATGCAGGTATCACTTTTTAAGAATTATTTCCTTTTCTTGCTGTGTTTCCCTCGTCCTATACATTGGCACCGGTTTTAGAATCCAGAACTGCCTCAGTTGTAATTTTTCTTAGCAGGAGAAAACATTTGGGTGACATTCCATTATAACTCTTAGAACTATTCTAAATTTTCTCAATAATTTTTTATTGAATATAACATACATGTGAATGCACATACATATAGATCAGGGGTTGGCAAATGTTTTCTATAAAGGGCCACTCAGTAAATATTTTAGGCTTGTGGACAATATGGTCTCTGTCACAACTATTCAACTTCATCATAACACAAAAGCTGTAATAGACCAATACATAAATGAATGAACATGGCAGTATTCCAACAAAACTGTATTTTTATGTACAGTGAAATTTGAATTTTATATGATTTTTACATATTAAGAAATATTCTTCCTTTGATTTCTTGCAGCCATTTAAAAATGTAAAAACCATTGTTAAACTCAAGAGCTGTGCAAAAACAGGCCACAGGCTGAATTTGATATGTGGGGCCATAGTCTTTCTCTATGAAAGGGAGAGAATTAAGTGGAGTTTGTAATTCTTTATTGAATCAAAACTTAAGTTATAGAGATTTAATTAATAATTTATTTCAAAGACACTTTTTATTATAAAGTATAATTGATTTTGATAAGCCACAGAGACATTTGTGAATTAGCAATCTAAATCTACTAATTCCTACTGCTGGTAGCTACATAACTTCGTTTATCTATTTGTCTCTCTCCCCCTCCTACCCTCCCCATCCCTCTGTCTTTCAAAGTCTGTCTCTCTTCAGGTCTGTCTGTATCTATCTGTATGTATATGTCTGTTTTCATACTGATATATCCATGATATTGACAATTTAAAGGTTTTCCAGAGACATGGACCTTTTTTTTTTGAGACAGAGTCTCGCTTAATTGCCCAGGCTAGAGTGAGTGCCATGGCGTCAGCCTCGCTCACAGCAACCTCCAACTCCTGAGCTCAAGCAATCCTCCTGCCTCAGCCTCCCGAGTAGCTGGGACTACAGGCATGTGCCACCATGCCCGGCTAATTTTTTCTATATATATCAGATGGCCAATTAATTTCTTTCTATTTATAGTAGAGACGGGGTCTCACTCTTGCTCAGGGTGGTTTTGAACTCCTGACCTTGAACGATCCTCCTACCTCGGCCTCCCAGAGTGCTAGGATTACAGGCGTGAGCCATCGCGCCCGGCCGACATGGACATTTTTTAAAGAACAAAAACCCTTTAACAAGTGGCTATTAGATTTCTTTTCCTGCGAATTGGAAAGCTGTGGTTTTTACCCTCTCTTTCTTGTGTTTCTTCCAGTATGGTGGTGTTTTAGTCTTAGCTAGTCTAAATCACTTTCCCGGACCTGGTTATGCATCATGTGACTCATAAACCGTTTCAGTTAATCTCTTTGGGTCCAGATTAGATAGACTCATGTGCTGCGTAAACATAAGTAACTTAGAAAATCCATGAAAGTTAAGGGACAATAAAAAGGACAAAATGGAGATGAAGTCGCCCTCCCCCCAGGTCCAAAGGCACAGTTGCCGGCTGCCCCCATCGCAAGCGTGCTCTGAGTGATCGTGTCGTTGGGTGTGCCGTTCCAGGTGGCAGTCAACGGAGCCAACCTGCAGAACGTCTTCATGCTTCTCACCCTGGAGCCTCTGCTGGCCAGAAGCCCCTTTCTGGTCCTCCACGTTCGCCGGAACAACCTCGTCGGAGATGCCCTGAGAGAGCTGAGCATTCATTCTGACATCGACCTGAAAAAGCCTCTCAAAGTGAGCTTCTGCAGTCTATTTCTCTAAATACCTGTGTAGGATTTTGTTAAACCGTATCCATAAAGCAGCAAGCATCTTCTCGAAGTTGTGGAGTGCGGCCATTCGTTATTTCTTTCGTTCGTTTCACAAGAACACAGTCACCTCCTTCTGTCAAATCATGAGCCAGAACATCTCAATGTAACATGAGATAAAAATGCCAGTGGATTATTTTGAGGGATTATAGTGCTTTCTTTATCTGCTCCCGCTGTCTTTATTATACCCGCTACAGCCCTATCAAAAACAAGCAAACATCTACAAAAACCACAGCTTCAAGCTTCAAAGTTTACAACTATTAAGCTATCATCTAGAATGATTTTGGCTATGCAAGATTTAAGAGAAGGTAAAACAAGGACATGGAAAGGTAGTAAAAATCATATGGGAAACTATTGGCCTATTAGGATTGGCACACACCTAGCACCCTAAAATTATTAAATTAAGAAACTGTCTCTTCCCACAGACCATGTTTGTGTTACTATTTACTGTATTCACAAGGCTTGGTACACAGAAGATATTCTACAAATTATTTAGTGAATTATTTGAAATAAGTGAATTATTTGAAAGTCATTCATCTTTCCTTCATTGGGTGACTTCCATCTCTCTATTTCCAATCCTGTTAGAAACTCCTGTTTGAGAAACATAATAGGCAAGAAACTGAACTGATCATCTCCATATTATTGTTCCCTTTCCAGAATTTCTCATGAGTAGCATTGGTCACATTAGTCTGCCCGGTTGTTCTCATCAGAGCTGCTTCTTTTTGTGGACTGTTTTCAATCAGTAATTCAGATGAGGCAGCTTTTGCTTTGTAGCATGTCTGAATAGAGTCTTCTGTAGGTATCTAGATAATCAAAGTCCTGGTTTCTGGACCTTTCCTATTGTTCTGCTCCAGGCAGCTTTGAACACAGCCACAGGTACAAACTTTCTCAAATGCTGTTTTTAGCTTGGCCATTACCGGTAAAATGGAAATAATAATAGTAATCTCTATGCATAAGGCTGTTCTGAAGTCAAGTGCTGGCATATAGACCACGCAGCGTCGTTTGCTGGTTTGCTGTAGTCATTACTCTTGGCGACCATCATGGGTCCAGCACGCCTGCTGGCAGCCACCCACCTAGAGCCTGTGTCTTTGTCTCATTAGAATTCCTTCCTCCTTCTACCTGCGTCAGTTACTTCAGGAACCCTATGGAGAGTAATTTCTTCCAAAAAGTGTTCTTTACTCAAGTTAATGATTGCCTTTCTCTCTGTTCCCTCTTGTTATGTATTTGAGCTTTGAAAATAAAATACATTTTCTGATTGCTGCTTTTATATATTTCTTACTGCCCTTAAAGGGATGGTAGACTTTTTTGTGGACATCTGGTAAACTTCTGGCTTCCTTTGTATCACTTGAAGCCCCTAGTAAAAATTGTTTGTATCTGTAAGTACCTTGTTCAAAACGTATGCTATCACCAAAAATCAACAGAGTCACCGTGTAGCTTTCATTCTATCAGTGCATATTCTCTATAATGTCTGCTTTCCTTTGTCCTGAGTTTATAAAAGAATCTGCTAAAAAATAAAAAAGAGAGAGAGAGAGAGAAAAAAAAAAACTTGCTATAGATTTCCTCGAAGTTTAATTTTATTCCATTATTTTAAGGTAATCTTTGATGGTGAAGAAGCAGTGGACGCCGGTGGTGTTACAAAGGAATTTTTTCTTTTGCTGTTAAAAGAACTTTTGAATCCCATCTACGGAATGTTTACCTACTATCAAGATTCCAATCTGTTGTGGTTTTCAGATACAGTAAGTTTAGTGGTGTCACAGTTAAACACATGGATTGAAGTAAATTTTCTTTTTGTCGTCAGACCAATCCCCTGACATCTGACTTTGCAGAGGAGAGCTTAAGAAAGATAATAACTTAAAATGTCTAAGTAACGTATCCAGTCTTCATTGATGTCTATTGCCAAGACCTCAGAGTGCATTTTGTCAGCCATCAGCCCTGTTTCCATTTCTAAGAGATAAGGTCTGGGTCATTCAAGAAGGGCAAAAGGAGCACAGTGTGATAAAGAAATTGGCTTTATGAAGTTGAAAATTCAGTGATCAAATATGTCTTATTTTAACAGCAATGACAATAATGTGTATGAATACACCCACGTACATACACACACTTTATTTTTGAAAATTCACTAGGAGAGCTAAGTTTTAAAAGGCATTCTGATTTTAATCCGAGTATAATTTAGATTTTTTTCTATCAGAATTTTCTCCCTAGACCCGCACTGTTCCAAAAGGTAGCCACTAGGGACATGTGACTATTTACATTTTATTTAGTTAAATAGCATTAAGGATGCATTTGCTCAGTTATACTAGCCACATTTCTAGTGCTCAGTAGACCGAGGTAGCCATTGGCTGCCATAAGAGACGGCACAGAATAGAATGTTTCCATCATGGCTGAAAGTTCTGTTGGACAGCCCTGCTCTAAGTGACTGTGGGCTGTTCCCTGTGTCACTAGGTTCAGGGGTGCTTCTCTGCCTCAAAAGGTAACTAAATATTAATCAGACCTTTATTCTCTTATATTGAAAATATTTTGAGGTCAATGGTAGAATGTTTTGAGGACCACAAACACTGCATTTCCTTTACCACGTGTGTGTATGTCCTAAAAAGTGTTTTGTAGAGCACAACTGGTTTCACTTGATTGGCATAACCTGTGGCCTAGCTATCTATAATTCCACCGTGGTTGATCTCCACTTCCCGTTGGCTCTCTACAAGAAGTTACTGAATGTAAAGCCTGGCTTGGAAGACTTAAAGGAGCTGTCACCCACTGAAGGAAGGTACAAAGCTCAAACAGGCAGTTGGTGTGGGAACTGTCTCTGCGCTCTGGCACCGGGATCAAAGGTGGAAAATACGCCATATGTTCAAGTTTGAGTGTATTGAACCGTATGCTTGGACTCTGTTGTGTGTGTTTTGTCTTAAGAAGTAGCCAGCCACACAGCTACTTGCTTGAAGCGTTGCCTGTGTCACTGTAAGGGCAGAGAGAAGAAAAGAAAAAGACTGCCAGGAATGCAAAATAATCTCTGCTTTCCTATCCTGAACAAAAAGTAAGGACATTGAGCCTCGTCATGGTCCAGAGATAACAGGGGAAGAGAAGAGAGGATTGGAAGGGAGACCTTAAAAAGTTTATCCATACGTAATTCACATGCCACACAAGCCAGTCATTTAAAGCAGTGGTCCCAACCTTTTCGCACCAGGGACTGGTTGCTTGGAAGACAATTTTTCCACAAACAGGCGGGAGACGAGCTCGCGTGGTGATGCTAGCAACGGGGAGCGGCTGTAAATACAGATGAACTCCACCGCACCTACTGTGTGGTGTCCTCCCCCCCCCCACCTCCTCCCCCTGCCTGCCCCTCCTTCCTAAGTTTAATGGGAGACAATTTTTCACCAACAGAGGGGGCAGGGCACAGCGACAGAGCTCTGCAGCGCTGATCCCTACAGGCCACTGGTCCATGGTCAGGGGTTGGGTACCGCATATTTAAAGTATACAATTGGGACATATTCATAGAGTTGCATGACAGTCATTACAGTCAAATTTAGAATATTTTCATTCCCCTGAAAAATGTCATTATCCCCAATCTCTTCATGCCCCAGCCCTAGGCAACCACTAATGTATTTTCTGCCCCTATAGATTTGCCCGTTCTAGAGATTTTATATAAGTGGAATCATACAACATATGGTCCTTTGTGTTTGGTGTCTTTTACTGAGCATGTTTTCAAGGTTCATCCATGTTGTAGCATGTGTCAGCACAGCCATCCCTCGGTGTCCCCAAGGCATTGGTTTTAGGATGCCCCCCCATAAAATCCATCAACATCCCTGGATGCTCAAGTCCCACAGTGGCCCTGCAAGAACCTGCGAATATGAAAAGTTGGCCCTCCATATCCATGGGTTTTGCATCCTGCAAATGCTATATTTTCTTTCTTTTTAAAAAATGTTTAAAATGTATTGATACATAGTTAGATGTACGTAGTTTTGGAGTTCGTGTGATAATTTAATACATTCATGTAACTTGTAACGATCAAATCAGTGTAATTGGGATATCCATGACCTTAAATATTTGTCTTTATGTTAGAAACATTAGAGTTACTCTCTTCTGGCTATTTGGAAACATACCATAGATTATTGTACTCTACTGTAGACACTCTACTGATCTATCAAACACTAGGTCTTATTTCTTCTATCAAACTCTGTGTTTGTACTCATCAATCTCTTTGCAAATAACAATATTTTAAATATGTTTTGGTTAAATCTGCAGATGTGGAACATGTGCATATGGAGTGCCAACTATATTTTATTTTTTTAATTTCCAAATAATATTCCATTATATGAATACACCACATCTTGCTTATCCATACATCAGTTGATGGACGTTTGGATTGTTTCCACTTTTTTGGCTGTTACAAATAATGCTGTTGAGAACATTTGTGCACAAGGTTTTTAGAGATAGACATAAGTTTTCACTCGTCTTGAAAGTGAAAAGCAATTCCTAGGAGCGGATCAAGTATATAAAAAGGCAGCTTTAACAGGAGGGAACATCTTTTTATGGAGAAGGGATACCAGTTTTGGGGTAGAGTTAGAAGAGGGGTGGTCTCCAAGATACCCTCTGGAAATGAGACCATCACACCTCTGAGGTAGGACACCAACACTGAGAAACCAAAAAGCATGTGAGGGCTGGGGGCACAGAGAGAGGACGAGAAAACTTAGGAGGAATATGAAAAAAATGGCAGAGGGAGAGTTAGTGTTAATTTTTTGGTAACGGAAGGAGAAGGCTAGAGAGCCGCAGAAGTATGTGCCGTTTGCTTTGCTAGCCTGGCTGAGAATTACGTATTTCACGTAATGATTTTGGCCGATCAACTGGTAGCAGATTTTAATTCCGCACTGGGAATTTTCTTCCTGGGCAACTCTTGATAGCATTGCAAGACTAGAGCTCACTAAAGAAGAAACCGTGAGTGAGGTCTAGTTGTAAGAATTTATTCTCTTGAGAGCTAGGGTATGATTTGTGTTGACGTAAACATATTCTTTTAAAAGTACATTTTCTTAGAGTTCTTCAGTATGACAGATTATTAAGTGTCTTTGTCATATAGAACCTTCTGCATTAAGAAGTTAGCCATTAAAGATTCCTAAATGTGGCATTTTTTTTTATGACAGAAGGATTATTTTACAATGCATAAGCCAGTGAAGCCAGTCTGTAGGGCCACTGCAGTACTGTTTTCTCATACATACTTCTAAGCAATATGAGGGTTAAGAGGATACAGTATTGTCAGATATAAAACACCTCTGAATTTCTTCATAAATCCAGTAAGATTTGTCAATAGGAGAAAAGAACAATTCATGAATGCCACACAGGCCTATTGCCATAATTCTCTTCTTCAAGGTTTAGGTACATGATTTTCTGTCAGTCTGGATTTATGTGCATTCTAGAATCTTCTTTTAGAGTTTTTCCTTATAAACAATCTGTGCATGTAACTGAAGTAAAAACACTGTTGCAGTGACTGATTTGCCTCTTTTCCTCATCTGTCATGCTATGATTAGGAGTCTTCAAGAGCTTTTAGATTATCCCGGTGAAGATGTGGAGGACATTTTCTGCCTCAACTTCACGGTAAGAATTTCCACAGTTTACTTATGATTGTGAGTGTCTCTTTTGTCTTGCTTACAAGTCATAATTAACATTAGTTCACCTCCAAATCAAAGAACCACGTCAGGGACTTCTCTGAATCAAATCATTTTAGTCATAGTGTCTTGAGTGTCATAGGAGTTCGGTATATGTGTTGAATGAGGGAATGATTAATCCATATACTTAGGAAAATTACTAAAGCATTAGGATTTTTCTCCTTGATTGCATTTGTTGGCAATTTATATCTTTTTTTTTTTTTTTTTGAGGTAATGTCTCACTGTGTTGCCCAGGCTAGAGTGCCATGGTGTCAGCCTAGCTCACAGCAACCTTCAACTACTGGGCTCAGCCTCCCAAGTAGCCAGGACTACAGGCATGCACCACCATGCCCAGCTATTTTTTTCTATATATTTTTAGTTGGCCAATTAATTTCTTTCTGCTTTTAGTAGAGACGGGGTCTCGCTCTTGCTCAGGCTGGTTTCAAACTCCTGACCTCAAGCGGTCCTCCTGCTTCAGCCTCCCAGTGTGCTAGGATTACAGGTGTGAGCCACTATGCCCGGCTGGCAATTTATGTCTTAAAAGATATTTATTTAAAGATGCTGATGTTTTGTGATTCAGGTTCTCATTCTTCTCCCAAGAATTTTCTGGAATAATAAATAGTCACGAAGCTGTATTTGTTCCAAAAGCCTCTCGGTCGTTTGGGTCCTAGAAGGATAAGTGGTAAACAAAAATGGAAACCTTCCTTTTTCCCGCCTCCAATATAGATCTGCCGAGAAAGCTATGGCGTGGTTGAACAGAAGAAGCTGATACCCGGTGGAGACAAAGTGGCTGTGTGCAAGGACAACAGGTTAGTCCTGGCCTGGACTGTCGCAGACCTTGCTACTTTATTTTCTAGCAGTTTGACTTTTAAGACCAGGATTAGAATTACATTTTAATCCCTTCTGCAGAGGACATAAGAATGATAGAGCAAGAATTTGCAGATTTGAAAGGATTTTTAATAGAACAATCCCCTGGATTCAGGAGATAACCGTTTTAGTTCTAGATCTGCATCTTATTAACTTTGACTCTGAGCAAGTCACATGAACTGTCTGATCTCGGCTTTTTCATCAGTAACGTGGGGATTATAATAACTGCCTTCTCTACGTCATGGGGCGGTTGTGAGCATGAAGTATGACAATTTATAGGAAAATATTTTGGAGCGAGTGAACTCACAGCATCTAGCACAGGGTTTCTAGTATTTAGCAACATGCCTGGCCACAAAATGCTCAAAAAATATGTGATATGTGTTGAATAAATGAATATTACAAAGCTGCTTACTATTACTGTTATTTTACTGCTGAAGCATTTGTATGGGTTTTAAATTATTGCTCTCTGTCTCATGAAAACTAATTCAAGTATATCTGATTTTTCAGGACGATTCACAGTCTGAGTTATCTCTTTAGAGAAGATACTCAATTTTGTTTCCTTTTGTACTGAATTTATGGTAATCTGCATATAAGCTGACTCATTTTATAAACGCTGTGTGCCTACTGTGTGCCAGGCATATTGCTGAGTATAGGAGAGGAATAACTTCTGTCCTTGAGAAGTTCAGCATTAGCTAAAGAAGGCTCGGCATATGTGGTAGATTGTGGGTTGTGTTATGGCGGTGACAGCCCAAGTGCCACAGAACTGGGGTAAGAGGCGGTAACACTTTTATCAGACACTGAAGAATGCAAGTGGGGGGAAGATGTTTTAGTCATAGGGAATAATATGAGTCAGGACTCTCAAATTTGACATGTAGCAGCAAGTGTTGAGTACTTTTGGGATGAAACCAGGACCCCAGGATATGGATGGAAGGGTAGGCACAGTAGCGTCAGAGTGGAGCTTACCAAGCTCTTGAATGGGTACTTCAAGCTTACCAAGCTCTTGGCTGGATCTCCATTTTAGAAAGATAACTCTGGTGGCCGTATAGAAATAGACTGTGTACAAGGAGACTCATTAGGAGGCTTTTGAAATCATTCAGGTAAAGGATGGAAGGTGGCAGAAGGAAGGTAGTGGGAATACGAAGTTGGTTACATGTGGGTTCTGTAATCAGCAGGAGCAAGTGTCTGATCAGCCGTGGATGGAATGAGAGAACCACTCGTTGGTAACAATGCTGAGGTTTCTAATTCAAACAACTGACTAATAGGAAACTGTCTATAAAGCAGGGTTGAGAGGGAAGAGTTCCATTTTGAATATGTTGATTTTGACATGCCTGTGCACCGTCTAGGTAATTATGTTTAGAGCAGAAAATTTACGTATCTCAATAAGAAAGTTTTATGTGAATGTTTTATTTGTTTAATTACTGTGCCAACCTCAATCACTGGTGACTTTGAGGTTGTTTTACAATGGTGAAATAAGTAAAAACAAACAAACAAACAAAACACAAGGACTAGGAAATTGTACACTTTTAGAAAAACTGTAGAAATTAAAATGTGGACTCTGTAGATGAGGGTTTGAGCATCACTGGCACATAGACTAGAGTGAAAGCTTCTGGGCTTAGAGAAAGAGCAAGTAGGGGGTGGGAAAAGACGAGAGAATGATCTGCCTTCACTTGGGAGGGAGGAGGAAGCCTTTATGGAAGAAAGCAAGATTTCAGAAATTTACCAAATGTAGAGAAACTAAGGTCCTGTTTGTTAGCATGCGGGGAAATGAAAAAAAACTAACGCACTCTGGGCTTTAGTTGGTGTTTTCCTCTAGGTGGTTGCAAAGATGCAGCCAGAGATCCTGTGAAATTCCCTCTCCTCAAGTGATCTGTCTTAGTTTCCGTCCATATCCATATAGCCTCCCTTTTGAAAACAGGAATGATAGCAGAAAACCTGGCAGACTTCTTTCATCCTTTGACATTTTAAAAACAGCTAGAAGCCACTTATGTCTTGTAAACCTTCTAGACTATCCAGGAAGCCTCAGCTTTGGGGAGCGTGTCAGTTATGCAGCATCAGAGTTAAGTGAAATGATGGCGAAGCTGTGGCGCATTCAACAAAAATGGCTTCGGCTTCTGGTCATGAGCTCATACTGCGGCAGAGTCCGCTTGTTGCTACCCAGCCCTCTCGCCGGTCTCTAGGATACCCCGCTGGTCTCTAGGATACCCCGCCGGTCTCTAGGATACCCCGCCGGTCTCCAGGATACCCGGCTGCGAGGCCCGCCCCGCCCCCACTGCGGAGCGCCGCGAATGCTAATGCGGCCTTGGGCAGGCACTGTGCAGAAACTGCGTATGTGGCCTGGGCCCCTGTCCCCGCGCTCCTCGCTCCCACCCAGGCCCTTGCACTTGCATCTCTCCCCCTCGGGCCCCCGTCTCCTCTGAGATCTCTCCAGGTTCCTCTCCAGAACAGAGAGGCACGGGAAGATCTGGCTCTAGAAATCTAACTAATGTAGAGGCTAGTCTTATCTCACTCCAGTAAGAGATGTTTCAGTCAAAATCCATACTTGAGGCCTTGGTGCGGTGGCTCACACCTGTAATGCTAGCACTTTAGGAGGCCAAGGCAGGAGGACTGCTTGAGGCCAGGAGTTCAAAACCAGCCTGAGCAAGAGTGAGGCCCTGTCTCTACAAAAAATAGAAAAATTAGCCAGGTGTGGTGGCATGTGCCTATACTCCCAGCTACTCAGGAGGATCACTTGAGCCCAGGAGTTTGAGGTTACAGTGAGCTACGATGATGCCACTGCACTCTAGCCCGGGTGACAGAGCAAGATCCTGTCTCAAAACAAAAACAAAAATCATACTTGATAAGAATCTCTTGTAGCTAAAAGCAGTTTTCTTTATGTAAACATTTGTTAACATCAAGTAATTTACGTTCAGGACTTTTTTATTGATAGGAACAGGCTTATTATTCCATACAGTGTGATGATGATTTTAGAATTGACAAATTCATGGTGGATCATAAAGCAGATTTGTTGGCTCCAATGATTCCTCTTCCCTTTTGGTTTTGGTCATTGCTTTATAAAATAGTATATGCATGTATATATTTACATGTATTTTTGTAGCCTTTTGTCTTTCAAAGGTTCAGGTTTTGCATCAGGTTTCAGACAAGATAACGCATGCATCATTTGTTAGAAGGTACAGCCCGAGGAAGGCGAACATTTCAATCATGTCCTATGTTCTGTGTGTTCGATACACTGGCTGGGGAAATGTATGCTCCAAGAGCACAATCTTAGGCAATTTGTGACGTAATCTGCAGTTGACGCAGATGTTGAGATTTATAACTCATTTTCTTATCTTTATCAAATTGTTTCAGCATACTTTTTTTGGTCTTGTTTGCTGTCTGTCTCTGAGTCTGAGTTTTTCTCTTTTCCTGTCTCTCTGCTTCTCTCTCCCCTTCCCTCATCACTATCTTTCTGTTTACTCGACAGACATTTCTTTGACTCAACAACTGAATTGACTCAGCAGTTGCAAGACAAACTGTGCAGGATTACCGAAATATAACACAGTTTGTTTAGGGTGATAAGCTGTTCTCATATGCAACCATAAATGAACTTTGAAGACTAAAATGGAGTGGTTAAATCTGAAGGCATTCAGAAAAATCAGTTTGCACAGATACATCTGTGAGGACTGATATGGAACAGAGCTAGGTTTGGAAGCCTTCTAAGATTTGGATACTAGAAAGTAGGAAAGAGGACATAAAATGAATGATCCTCTGTAAAAGGAGAGAATAATCTCGAGTTGCTGTTTCAGGCAGAGCACGGTGAGTGGGTGGGGGAATTGTATGTTGGAACGGAACATTGCTGGAAAAAATTTTGTTTGGATGACCCACATTAGCTTAGCAGGCAGATTAGATTGTAGGAGATTTTGAAAATTGCGCTGTGAAATTTAGGCTTCATTCAGCAGGTAATAAAAGCCATTGTCAGCTTGCAGGCAGATAGAAGTAGGTGCGTGGCACTGTTTTTTTCCCTGCATCAACTTTTCTTCCTTCTCTTCCATTTATACCTGTTGCTGGTACGTATGTGCTTATGGACATTGCTTAACTCCACAAATGGTTCTGGAATCAGGGCTCATTGGCCCAGTGAGAACAGCATGTGCTTGTCTAGAAGGCATGGACTCCTTTTCTCTTACTTTTCGATTATTTACCTCCTTTTGACTTCAGTGCTGCTCCTTCAAAGCATTTACCGTAAGGATGTTCTGATGATACACAGGTTCTTTACAAGAAAGAGAATACATCAACCCAAGAGCACAATAAGAAAGGGATCCACATTATTATTTTATTCATGTTATAAAACTCCATTTATTTCTGTTACTGTGGCTTTCTAAGCAATAGCTTCAAAGGTTGTATGGTTTTTTTTTCTTTTTTCTTTTTCTTTTTTTAACTCTTTTGTACAAGAGATTGCTGTCATTTTACGTATTGCCAGGCAGAGAGTGGATTCCCATACTGATTGCCAGTATACTATGTTTGAGATTAAAGTATGGAACAGCTTCAGCATTAGGTGGAAATTTAAGGTTTGGCATCTAAGAGTCGCTAGCACTCATTAGGTGTTGCTGCGTGTGTCTCTGTGTCATTCAGGAGAGCCTGTTGCTGTCACAGTTACCTGTTTGTCTTCCCTCGGGTTACTAGAACAAGGACCTTAGACTGAGTGGCTTACAAATAACACAAATGGTTTTCTCGTGGTCCTGGAGTCTTGAAGGTCCAAGATCGGGCTGCCAGCATGGCCGGGTTCTGGTTTAGGGACTTCTTCCAGGTGGCAGGCCACCAGCTTGTTGTTGTGTCCCCAAATGGTGGAGAGCAGCGATGGGAAGCCCTCTTAGAACTCTTACAAGAGCGCTAACCCCATTGATGAGAGCTCCACTTCTTAGTACTGTCACATTAGGAGGTAGAGTTTCCACGTAGGAATTTTGTGGGGGCCGCAAACATTCAGCAGTTGGACAGCTTCCAACATCCTAGTGTGGTTACTGCCGCACTACTCAATAGATCTGTTACGGTTGGGGACAATCAGAAAAAGACATGAGTGATTTTTTTTTTTTTTCCTTTTCCTTTTATGCTGCACAAAATAGAAATCTTAACAAAGTACATTAAGATTCTGGCAAGAAAGGTTGTATGAAGTTGCAAAAGAGTAATCATTACAGTTCTTATTTCCTTGGCTAGATGCCATAATCTCATCATTGACAGTCCTATATTATATGACTAGGAAATGAAATGAATGAACCGTAAGAATAATACCTGCCGGATTTTTATCTTAGGCGGTCATATGCACACATACTGCTGGCATTGAAGCTGTTTTTGTTAACATTAAGATATTTGCTGTCAGGGCTGCCCTAGAGGAAAATGCCAGAGGGATACCAATTCCGTCTACATAATTTATTCCATTCCATTTGGTTTTAAAATTGCTTTCTATCCTCGGATCAGAGTTACCCAGTCAAAATGAGTTACAGGAATCCAGGTAAAAAAAAAAAAATCTGTGGCTGATTACTGGTGGCCACATCAAAGCCAGATCTTGCCACAGCTGGTGGTCACATCTGGATAATACTATATTATGTTACTACTCGTGCGTGGTTAAGTATTTCTCACACTGTGTAACATGGCGTTATCATCATTAATGAAAAACCCACATATTGTTCTGGATTCCGCCAAATTCAGTTCAATTTGATGCAATCAAATTAAATGCTGTTGCAGTCCCCCGGGAAAACAGGGAGCGACAGAGACAGAGAATAGTAAAGGGGCCCACACAGTGAGAAATGTCAGATTTAAGGTAAGTGCTCTAAAGAGCTTCTGGATCCCGTAATGGGAACCTTGAGAATAAAAATCCATGCGTGCCAAACACTCCTAGCTCCTTAAAATCTGCTGATGTTAAGACTGCCGGCAGACTCCAGCTGATCTTTCAGGACGGCCTGCGATGGGTGCAGTGTTTAAGATCTGCATGTGCTCATGAAAGGGACGGCAGATAACTAAAACGCCAGTACCACTTCCTGAGTACTTACCACGTGCCAGGCACTCTTTGAAGTCCTTTACATGTGAGCCTCTCCATTTTGCAGCTGAGGAAACTGAGGCACAGAGAGGTCTAAATCACCTGTTCGCGGTTACACAGCTAGAAGTCCAGGGATCAGAAGCCGAGGCAGGACTGAAAGCCAGGCTGTTGAGTCGGGGCAGTGCTCCCCAGGCATTAGCAAACGGCCCCTTAGGGGCGAGGGCTGGGGCTCCGGGGTCCCCAGTCCTCTTTCTCCCAGGAAGAAAGATGACTTTGAAGGGTTTTGCAGTTTTTCCTTTCAGGCAGACTATGTAATTTAAAAAAAAAACAACCAAAATTGAGATAGTTTAAAACATACTGTGTATGTATGAAATTGAATGTCTGAATTTTTAAGCTGTTTAAATTTTTAAACAGTGCTCATATTTAAAATGCCGTTACAAAGCCTTCATGGGTACCCTTACTGATGGCTGTATGTCTGCTATGTGCATGTGCATTTTCTGTTTCTTCGCTTTTCCGTATTTGGCTTGTTTGTATGTTCTTTTTTCTTTCTCTTCCCCCACAACCGTTTTTTAATAAGACCATATCAGACATCTTTTCTGTATAAAGGTATTTTTGCATTTAAAATGGATGTTTAATGATGAGCAACAATAAGTCCCAAGGGAAAAAATCATAGTATATAGCATTTTGAATCTACCGATATTTTTGCTGCATTGATTTTGCTAATGAATTATAGTAGCTTATACATCGTCACCAGTGTCTGAGAGAACCGTTTCACTAAATTCCTGCAGAACACCGTATCCTCTCTTTTGCAAAACTAATAAATTCAATCTCATTTTTATAATTCTGCATGTCTTTCACATATAGGCTACTTTACACATTCTGCACAGTATTGATCTATTTTACTGCTATTTACCTCTAAAATATTTTGTTTGCAAAAATGAATTGAACAGAAGGTGGTGGTTACATAGCATTGCAGATATACAAAACACCCCTGAACTGTTCCCTTTAAAATGGTTAATTTGATCCTATGTGAATTTTCCCTCAATAAAGAGTTTGTGTACGTGTGTGTACACGTCTAAATGTGTGTGTGTGTGTGTGTGTATTGAGTGTAAACCTCAGGGAGAGAGCCGCATGCTACGGATTTCTGCATAACACAGCTGGTTGCGTGTCTAATGCATGTTGCCGTTCCTTCTGCCAATTATTTTGTGCTTTGCTGACTCATTTTGGCCTAGCATGGGTTAAAACTGGTTTATGAGTGGACAGTGTTTGACCCGTCTTGAAGGCAGGGTACCCTGCTAGATTTTAACATGCAGATTTTATTTTATTGCTGCCTGAGGAACTGTCCAAAGAAGCAGTCCGGGAAGCAGAGTAAACATCAGGCCAGTTTTTAGGATATGGTAGAACTCACTTCACCCTACGAGAAGCACCATAAACAGCCCTGTGTCCTTAGAGAGGTGGCCAACAGTGGTATGCCTGGTAGCTGAGAAACCCCATAGCTAAAGCCTTATCGTAAACAGAAGAAAGATTGCTGGCCAGAGCTCGCTGCAGGGAATGCTTGTTTCCAGACCTTGCTAGAATCCTGGCTCCCGCAGTGCTGCGGCTTCAGGAACGTGTCTTTCTGCCTCAGACGGTGTTTGTAGCATTCCCTCTTTGAAAAGTAGTCTGCGATGTCTTTTATGTATTTCTCCATTAGGACTAAATAATTTTCACATGATTTGTACGAACTCTTCATTATATTGGGATTATTAACCCTTTGCCATCCACGTTTATTGTAGATTTTATTCCCAGTTTGTTTCTGCTTTTGTGAATGTAGAATGTATGTCTTTAATTTTGATAATTTGTTATTTTATTTTATTTTTTTATTTCAGCATATTATGGGGGTACAAATGTTAAGGTTACGTAGATTGCCTTTGCCCCCCCCTCCCTCCTTGAGTTAGAGTTTCAGTCGTGTCCATCCCCCAGAATCGTGATAATTTCTTTATTTTTATGTTGTCATGTCTGTTATTTCTTTTGGTCTTATATCACTCTAAGCATTCTCCGGTCCAGTAACTGATAAATGATTAATGTATTCAATTACAACAATTTTTTTGAGTCTGTAGTCTGAGGTAAAAATCTAAACAGCTTCCAAATTGCCGAGTTTTCTTAGCTGTTCTTACAGGTGAGCAACATTAGGGTCAATAGGTTCCTGATCCAGTTTGGGTTTTGATTAGAATTGTAATAAATTAAAAGTTAATTCAGGAAAAACTGACACTTTTGTGATACTTGGTCTTACCATCCAAAAGCCTATGTTACATTTCTTTGTTTTTGCTCTTCACATAGGTTATATACCTTATTTATTAGAGGTTTTGATAAATATTTTTATTTATTTCTACCATGAAAAAGAGCCTTTCCCATATATTTTGAGCATTATTAATACCCAGAAATAATTATTGGGTTTGGGGCATTTATCTAATTAACTAGTCTAACTTATTAAATCTGAATAGTTTTTCAGTTGATCCTCTTGGGTTCTCTATATAAGTAAATAATCATATGCCTGCAAAAAATTTTTCTCAATAATTATACCCCTTGTGCTTGAATTATTTTTGCTTTTCACTGGACCTAGAAAAATATTAAATGATACTCTCTCTCATTCCGGGAGATAAATCAGTGTTAAATTTTATTAATTTTTTTCTCTGCTAAGATAATAATATGATTAAGATAATCAGAACTTCTACACTTAATATATCATTTTGATTTTCTCTTTTGGTTGGGCTGGCCATAAGGAAAATTAATGTTATCTTAATATTATTCGCACTCAACTGTTGCCATTAGCAACAGGTGAGAGCTGCCTTCCATTCCCTGCAGTAATGCCGCAGTATGATTTTGCTGCTTTGTAATTTTAACCCTTAAGAGGAAAAAATGGCGTCTGATTTTTAATGGAAGAAAATGGCGTCTGATTTTTAAATTTTCTTGTAGTCTGATTTTTTTAAAAAAATTTGTTTTATTTAGAATGCCCAAATGTAAGGTTGAAATAGCCTTTTTTTTATATATTCATTGTGTCACATTAAAGTTTTTTTTATCTTTTCTGGGTAGGAAATCAAAACCTGATTTTATATTGAGGAAACCAAAGCAAGATAGTTTATTGAATTTCCTGTGTTTCTGAATTAAAAGCCACGTTTTTCTCTCATATTAAGGAATCATAAACAGGGATATGATGATGTCCATTTTCTTTTATAATGGGAGAAGAGGATTGAATTTCCAGTAAATGAATTTATGGTGTCATTTTCTTTAATGTAATAGTAAGTGCTGAATAATTTTTGGCTTTTATTATGTGTCAGACGCTGTTCTGTGGGCTTTTTATATGTGTTATATTAATTCATTGGTTCTTTATGATAACCTGTGAAGAAAGGATTATTACTTTTATTGATTACCTTTTATTGATGGGGAGTGACTAAGCACAAAGTATTAGCTGAAATGCCCAAGGTGTATTACTAATAGGAGGCAGAGCTGAGATTTGAATACAGACAGTCAGAATACCAAGTCTTTTTTTATTTTGAAAATACTGTTTTATTAACACCACAGTGGTAAACAACTTTATGCTTATGCTCTTTACAGATCACTGGCTCACATACAATTCAAAACCCACAAAGAAGCGAAAAGTCTTTACATTAAATGTTCTTCCTAGAAATCCATCCTTTATGCCAGTCCGTCTTCAAGCAGTAAAAATTAATTATGCACCATTTTATATTTAATATGTCACATTTACATAGCAAAATAATGAAGGCACAGCTAATACAAGCAAACGTAAACCCTTTCTACTTCTGAGCTGGGGGTAGGGGCACACACTTGGGGGGGGGTTCTTCAAGTATATATTTTTTTCCAAACATATTAGCTTCAGTCTGATGATTTTCACAGCAATACCCTAAGAGCTACGTGACGTAAAGACTTCACAAGGATCAAACTACGTAACACTGAACACACATGCTTTATGGAATTTTGCTACATTCTACATCTCTTCAAGTAAATTAATACTTCTAAGTGCTAGGTAAAATGATTTAATACTTAAACATCTGGGGCATTTGTAAATAGACATTGCCAAGAAAACACATAAACATGAGATTACAACTAATGAATACACAAGTTGACGATATTATACAGATTTTACACTCTCCTTGGACCACACTGTTTCTCTGAACCCAAACATTCGGAACATTTTTCAGACTTGGAAATGGCAGTGTCCCTGGCCTAATTAGCAAATCAGTCTCATGATCTCCATCACAGTCTCGTCGCCTGCCCCCCTCTGAAGGGCGGGGGTGTCAGGGCTGCAAAAGCAAAGTCTCCAAAGATGACGTCTTCCTTGCGCTCCGCACTGGGAAATGTCAGTCCTGGGGAAACTGAGGAATGACGCAGCGGGAAAATGCCCGGCCCGGCTGGGGCGCGCGCGTGTGATGTGATGACTGGGTCTCAGAGTGGCGCTCTCTGCTGCGATCTGCGGACACCCTCTCTAAGCCTCAGTTCGAGTCCTCCCAGGGGAGATCATGGAGAGAACCGATTTTAGCGTTTAATTTGGGACCTAATTGCTTCAATTTAACCTATCTCTTTTTAGGAATGTCAGAACAAACTCGCACTGTGTTTCGGTCCACAAACCTAAGCCTTTCTAAGCCCACCAGTACTCAGAAAGAAAGCAATCAGCGTGTTTCCTTCGCGGGCGCGCCGGCCGCTGGCGGCTCGCCGCTCGCTCTTAATTCTTGGCGGCGTCGGGCATCTCGGCGCTGGCGTCGCCGCCCTTCGCGGCCGCCGCCGCGCCCTCCTCCTCGCCTTCATCCTCCTCCTCCTCGAAGTCGTCGTCGTCCTCCTCCTCCTCCGCCTCGGCCTGCAGGGTCCACGCACACTCCTCCATCTCGCCGGTCAGCTCCTGGATCTTGGCGAGCAGGGGCTTGTAGATCTCGTTGTACTTCCTCTCCAGCGCCTGGAACTCCTTGTCGAACTTGGCCTCAATCTTGTCGCAGCGCTTCTGCAGCTTCTTGAGCGCCAGGACGCGGCAGCGCACGGAGTTGGGCAGGCTGTCGATGAAGTCGTTGCGCGGCTTGGCCACGCTCTCGGCGGGGCCCTGCGGCTCCACGGCCATCGGGGTGGCCGCGGCGTCGGGCGGCGGGCCGCCCTGCGCGCCGTCGTCGTCGCCGGCCGCCATCACCTCCTCCGCCGGCCCCGCTGCTGCCTCCGCCGCTGCCGCCGCTGCCGCCGCCGCTGCCGCCGCCGCCGCCTGGCCCGGCTCCGCAGACCCCTGGTTCTCCGCGTCGGCCATGCTGGAAGAGTCGTCGCAGAGGTGTCGCTGGCGCCCGCAGAGGCCCTGCACCCGCGCCGGTCCGGAGAGCTCTGGCGGCTGCGGCAAGCGGCGAGCGCGGCAGCTGCGGCGGTGACGTCGGCCGCGCCCGCCCCGCCCCCCGCGGCCGGCCCGGGACTGGCTGCCCGCGCCCAGCTGATGCCCATGAGCTCATACTGCAGCAAACTCCGCGCGAGGCCCGCCCCGCCCCCACTGCGGAGCCCGCGGAAACGCGTGTGCGGCCGCGCTGCCGCCCGGCCCGTGCGCGCCTGCCTCCGCATCTCCCCGTCTGCGCCCGCTCCTCTCAGACCCCCCACGCCCCTCTCCAGAACGGGGAGCACGGGGCGGCAGGCTCCATCCCGCCCCCTGGCGACCCGGGGTGCAGGGGCGTGCAGAGGGCAGCTCGCACACCTGAGCCCGGCGCCTGGCTGTCCGCCCCACAGCCCCCGTGACCGGCCCCCGGCCCCGCGCGGCATCTGTCCTGTCTCCGCGGCACGCGGCACGCGGCAAGGTGCCTCTCGTAAGACCTGCCGCGCAGGGTTTTTGGAGCGGTTCGGGCAGGCCATCTCAGAGCCCTGGGTATCCCGGCATGTGTTCTAGAAGGTCCCGCAGGATCTTTGGCCCGTGGGAAGGAAGCAAGCTGGAGGAGAGCCAGGCCCTCGAAAGCAAGGGGCTCCCGGCCAGGCCCCCGCTTATTCCGGCCGAAGCGTGGCTTTAGTCTGCCATTCGTGGGCACACGCAAAGGCACACGTGTTGCACACACAGCCACGGCCCTCCGCAGGTCAGTATCTGCTCCGGGGTCCTGTGGTTTGTATGAGGACGTTAAGGAAGGTCTCAAACAGCGAACTCTTGCTCTCTAATACAAGAGTGAGCAGACAGACATTTCAGTTCCTTCCTTTGTTCATCAAGCCCAAAACGAGAGCTTTCGAGTAAGGATTAGGGCACGAATTGTAGGTGTGGAAGACAGATGATCCGAACAGGGGCTCCTCGGGAATGCTCTCAAATCCAGCATTACTGATTGAAATGTTTTTATTTCACTGTTTTGGTACTTGCTGGAGCTTTGGGAAATACGAGTCTTAGAAATTAACCTCCGAAAGTGCAGCTAGTGTGCCATCTTTTGGTTCTTGTGAATATTAAATGAGTTCATGATGTGTAAGACGCTTAGTGCTGGCACTTAGCAAGCGCTAGCTACGTGTTTTAATTTTTTCTGACAAAATGATTGCATTTACTGATACACACATATTTATCTGCAATATTCTCTCTTAGAGGACGGAATCTTCGTGGCCCTCCTCGAAGAAGATAATTGACAGAAGGCCCAAGGCCCAATGGTTTCCCATTTAGCAAACATCCTAGTTTTTTATGTACTCGTGATTCTTCTTGTCTGTTTTCCTTTTAATTCTGCTCCAGAGAACTTACATTTTTCCTTTCCCTGTTACCATTTGTAATGACAGAATTTTATTAAGGCTGAAATTTCAGTCTTAGCCCTGACTAAATATGATGTAATATTATACAGCATAAACATTTGGTTGACTGGCACTGTAAATATTCCATCTTGCCCCCATATATGATCTCTTTTGATGGCTACAGTCACTTTGACTTTAGGAATGTTGTTTTTTTTTTTTCTCATTTTATAGATAATAAACTTAGCAGCAGAAAAATAAAATGGAATAGCTTGTGATTTCATGTATCACTTAATTGGCAGAATTAGGACAGAAACTAGGCCTGCTGATTCCTATTGTATAGAGGTTGTGACGGACTTAAAAACCAGAAAAAGCCCCCAAATTTTAGTTAAGTCCATTTGATGAAATTAACTTGCTTGAGACAGCCAGAATGTGCTCCTTCATTTGAGATTTTTATCTTTCCATCTCAACAGATCTTAAAACTTAGTGTTAAGCTAGGCTATTTTTGAAGTCTCGTTTATTTACATACCATAAAATCTACCCCTTTGGGGTGCTTTCACAAACCAATACAATCTTGTAAGCATCATAGTAATTAAGATACAGAACAATAACATCACCCCCCAGGATTCCTTCGTGGCTTACACCACTCCCAGCCTTGGTGACCACTGATTTATTTTCTGTCTTAGTAATTCTATTATTTACAGAATGTCATGTACATGGAATCATAAGAATGTAGCCTTTTGAGTTTGGCTTTTTTCACTCGCATAATACATTTGAGATTCATCTGTGATGTTGTGTATATTAGTAACTTATTCCTTTTTATTATTAACATTCCCATTTTTGCTGTTTCCAGTTTTTTGTGATTAATGAATAAGGCTGCTATGATCATTCATTTACAGGTTTGTGTATGAACGTATGTTTTTCTCTTGCAGTGGGATTGCTGAGTCATACATTAAATGTTTAACTTTATAAGAAGCTGACACACTCTTTTCCAAAGTGGCTTGTCTTAGTCCATTTAGGGATGCTATAATGGAATACCTGAGGCTGGGTGATGTGTACGGAAAAGAGATTTTTTTATTTTTTATTTTTTTGAGACAGAGTCTCACTCTGTCACCCTGGCTAGAGTGCCGTGGCATCAGCCTCGCTCACAGCAACCTCAAACTCCTGGGCTCAAGTGATCCTCCTGCCTCAGCCTCCCGAGTAGCTGGGACTACAGGCATGCGCCACCATGCCCAGCTAATTTTTTCTATATATATTAGTTGGCCAATTAATTTCTTTTCACTTACAGTAGAGACGGGGTCTCGCTCTTGCTCAGGCTGGTTTCCAACTCTGACCTTGAGCAATCCGCCCGCCTCGGCCTCCCAGAGTGCTAGGATTACAGGCGTGAGCCACCGCGCCTGGCCTCTTACTGAATTTTAAATGTTCTTTATATGTTCTGGATCCAAGTCCTATATGAGATGTGCATTTTGCAAATATTTCCTTTCAGTATGTGGTTTGTCTTTTCATTTTTGTAACAGTGTCTACAAAAGGCAAAATTGTAAAATTCTGACGAAGTCCATCTTATTAATTTTTCTTCTGTGCATTGTGCTATTAGTGTCACATCTAAGAAATCTCTTCTAGAAGTTTTATAATTTTGGGTTTCACATTTAGGCTATGATCCATACCAACTTTTGTATAGGTGTGAGGTTTTTTGTTTGTTTTGCATATGTTGTCCTTTTGATTCAGTACCATTTATTGAAAACTCTATCCTTTCTCTGCTGAATCGCCTTTGCAAATTGTCAGACATCAGTTGACATTATATGGGTTGGTCTATTTCTGGACCTTCTCTTCTTTTGCATTTTTTAATGTGTCTTTTTTTTTTTTGGCTGTCTAATAGCAGCAGCAGTAGTGGGAGTTTGGGGTCTGTCTTGAGTCAGAGACTTTTAACCTTGAGGGTTAGGGCTTTTATCTGTGACTGGCCCACCAATCTTTACCCTTTAATGGCGTAGGGGAAGCCCCAGATCAGGGCTGGGATTGGATAGTGTTTGATTGTCCAGGACAGGAAAGCCTACGAGCTGGGAAGATGGCCGCACATCTGGGAGTTCTGGTTGGTTCCTAATAATGTCCCGTGAGTCTGGCATTTGAGCCCTACCTGCTGAGGCAGCACCTCAGCCTTCCAAAGTATCTCATCTGAGCGTTTCTTCAAGTCTTGGGGAGGACGTGTTGGTAGGGATGGTTCTTGCATGTGTTCATGAGTAAATCCCACTCAGAACTGTAGATCCTTTAAAATTGAATATGTGCTGAACTAGAAGGAAGGAAACAGACATGCTGGATGAGCGACAGAGAATAACCAAGGACACCTAATGCCTAAGACCAGGATTGTTTAAGCATGCATGATTTTTGGTTTCCTGTAATTTGCATCAAATTGGATATTTCATGATACCTATTTTGGTTGACCTGTTTGGTTCATGTACACGTGATTCACCTCTTTGGAAATGCTGAGGAACAAAGTGTGTGTGTGTCTGCCTGAGTTTATATGTGCACATGTCAGTGTTCGTGTGTGCATTGTGGGCATGTGAGCATGTTCATGTATGCCCATGAGTCTTCCAGTTTGGTGGCATATAGTTGTTCATGGTAGTCTCCCATGATCCTTTGCATTTCTGTGGTATCAGTTGTAATGTCTTCCTTTCAGTTCTGATTTTATTTATTTGGGTCTTTTTTATTTGTGGATAGTCTAGCTAATGGCTTGTTGATTTTGTTTGTATTTTTTAAACAAATTTTTGTTTTGTCGATCTTTTGTATTTTTTTTGGTCTCAATTTCATTTATTTCTCCGCTGATCTTTATTATTTTTTCCTTTTACTAATTTTGGATTTGTTTGCTTGCTTTTTTTACTTCCTTGAGATGCATTGTTAGGTTATTTGAAATCTTTCTACATTTTTGATATAGGTGTGTATTGTTATAAACTTGTCTCTTAATACTGTTTTTACTGTATACCATAGATTTGGTATGTTGTATTTCATTTTCATTTGTTTTAAGAAATTTTCTAATTTCCTTCCTAATTTTTTCATTGACCTTTTTTGGTCATTCAGGAGCATGTTTAATCTTCATGTATTTATCCAATTTCAAAAGTTTCTGTTGGTATTGATTTCTAATTTTATTCCATTGTAGTCAGAAAAGATGATTTTCTGGTGTGGCGTATTATAGTATGGTAGATACTATGTTGTTTGCTAAAAGATATAGTATGATTTCCATTATTTTAAATTTATTGAGACTTGTTTTGTGGTCTAATGTGTGTTTTTTCCTGGAGAATGTTCCATATGCTGATGAAAAGAATGTGTATTCTGTATCTGTTGGATGAAATGTTCTGTAAATGTTTGTGAGGTCCATTTGGTGTAAAGTGTAATTTAAATCTAATGTTTCTTTATTGATTTTCTGTCTAGATGACCTGTCTAATGCTAAGAATGGGGTGTGGAAGTCTTTGCATATGATTATATTGGAATCTGTCTGTTTATATTAAATAATATTTGTTTTATATATCTGAGTGCTCTGGTGCTAGGTGCATATATATTTAGAATTATTATATTTTCTTGCTGAATTGATCTCTTTGTCATGATATAATGACCTTTTGTCTCTTTTTATAGTTTTTGACTTAAAGTCTATTTTATCTAAGTGTAGCCCCTCCTGCTTGCTTT